TAATTAAAAAAAAAGATTAATAAGTATTAAATAACAATATGGTGAAAAGACAAGAACATTGAAGTAAAATCGGGTTAAATTAATTTTTTTCAATTGATAATCAATCATTAGTTTTATTAATGTCATTTATTAATATTTTTAATTGTCATTATTAATTTTATCTGGCGGTACTATTTAGGAAATTTATTATAAAAGACTCGAATTAATCTGTAATATTGCAAATATGTATATGAAAAATAAATATAAAAAATTTTTGTCTGTTTTATAAACATTACTTACTTACTTTATTTTCTTGTTTTATATTTTTGTTACTTAATATTGCTTATATCAAATAATAATGTTGCTTACATTATAAGTAATAATGTAAAATATACATGAAGTGATTTAGGCGACCAGTATGCAATACGTATTTAGCAATTCTCTCGTACATGTTACTTATATCTTCATAATTTTACAATTTCGAAATTTTAACATTGTTACAATACATTCAAATTGTAATAATAACATAAATTATAATAAGTTTATAATTAAATGAAATGTTTAATAACAGTACTTACATTCATGTTAAGTGTAGAAATTATGTTTTCAATAAAAAGGATTAATTTAATTTATCTGTATATACAAAATTTTATAGAAATCATTAAATTAGCTGAAGATCATTTAAAATGCAAATGTTTACTATTTAAAAATCAAAATTTAATAATAAAATATCGCCTTTCTTTTTATATATATATATCGTCACAAATAAAGTTTATTAGAGGCATTTCACAGAGCCAGTTTCTTACAAAATCTATTAAATAACCGAAGACCATAAGTTTTATTTCCATAAGTTTTAACTGTAACATTCAAAAGAAAATTTATAGAAGTAATAATACTAAATAGTTTAGATTCTGTTTTATTAGTATACGAGAGAATTTTTTCTTAGAGTTTATCCTGAAAATATGATAGTCGTGGGATAACATTTCGAAGAATTTTAATGTAAAATTCTTTCTCATTTATTAATAAAACTACAATAAAATATAAAATAAGTTTGATTAACTCTTACCGTACTAGGTACAATTTGGTATCTTATCCATATTAACGGAGACAATAGAATTCATCCGTTTTTTTCACCTATTCAAAATGATTAAAAAAAATCTCTAAAAATTAAATAACATAAATAGTATTGTATATGGGCAGCCTGTTTGGAAAAATGGTGCTTTCTGATTGGTCAGTGACGCAAGGATTGAGATAACGAGATAATTAAATGGCGCGTTTTTGGCTTGCCATGGCTGCCCACACGCTGATTGGCTCTGTCCATAGTTATCCGTACGGTGACTGGAGAAGGATGAGGTATCGGCAAGGATGAATATCGTGACAAAATGATGGAAAAATCGAGGAAAATTGAGACCAAAACATTTTTTCATTACGAAGAGAGGGGAAAGAGTAGCGGATATAAATATCATACAGTTTTTTGTTCTGTAGATCATTTTTTGCTGCAGGCGGCTCAATAGTCGATATTCATAGTCATATCTTAGATTCAAGATCGTCTTAAGTACGATCTTAAGAAGTCACGAATCAGAGGGCTGTATTAGCGTCTTAAGACAATACTTAAGATGGTTTTGAAATAAAAATCGACTATGAATATCGGTCAATGTCTCTGGGCGTATTAACGTTTTAGGTTATGTTTTGAAAAGATTTTTTTTAATTTATGATGAGGACTTTTATGAAAATTTTCGAGAGACTCTTGATTTCATAAAGGAAGAAGATAAAACAGGAATGAACAAGTTCATGCTGGTACGTCGTCGTAATCAGCATGATTTACTCGTTTTTAGAGAATAAATTTCTTCTGTACTATGTCGGAGATATTTTTATTTAAATATCTTAAATATGATAAAAATCTATATTATTTAAACCTGAAATATTGCGATATTTGGATACAAATATGAAATAGTTGAGAAGTTAAAATACAAAGATTTTATTTATTAATTAAAGAATTATTACATTGATAAATGAATTATATCATATGAAAAAAATATATTATAAAAGTCATAATCCTCAATTCATTAAAACTATGTTAACAATTTAGTTGAATTTTAATTCAGTTATTTCTAAAAACAATATATTAAAGTATGTATATAATATATAAAGTATATATTAAGTTTCCAAAAATGACAAATTTTTTATTTGTGTTCTTACGCAGCGTTCAATGTCTTCTTTGTTGTTTCGAAAAGTGAGTTTGATGATTTCGCTGTCGAAGTAGGAATTAGTCAAAAGCAACTCTATCTTCTTAATTAAATCTCGGGCGCACTTGTTAACATTGTCAATAATAGACGTCAGTTGATTTACATGCGTATTGACTCATTTGATTACTCTCTTCATTCCTTGAAATGTAACTTGTTAAATTACAATCGCGACGTAGTAAAATTTTATTTTCTTTGGCGATTGTGCTGGTTCTGTTTGTGCGGATAAAGCCTCCTTTGGAAAATTTTCATCTTGCTTGCGCATTATCAGCTTTCATTATAGCTTTTGCAGCATAGGCGGAGGTAAAGCTGACAAATATGTTTGCGAATGAGATAGGATTTAGGGGAAAGTGGGTGAATTGTGCGTACTTAAGGGAAATTTATTGTCCTAGAATAATTTTCCAAACGATATAAGTATGGAAATAGAAACTATAAACATTCTTCTATCATTATATGTGTTGAACAGATTTTCATTCAATAAAGTTGTATTTGATAAAAAGGAAAAAATGAAAAAAATTTCTCGGGTCGGGTAATTGTGCGCATGGGTTGGATAATTGTGCGCAAAGTTAAAGTCATAGGGAATGAATGAATTATGGAATATTGACAAAGAAATCAGAAAATATATTTATTATATTGCAATATAAATATATATTAAATATATTTTAAATATATATTACATATATTAAGCAAAAATACAAAATTAATATAATAATAATACATAGACTTTGGCAAATAAAATTAAATAATAATGCAAAGAAAAAAACAAAAAAATTAGTGCTAATCATGTAGTATATGAAAGATGGGTAATTGTGCGCTTCAAAATGCTTGCGCACAGTTGCTCGCCTGATTCGATTACTTCAACATTTCTTAACCAATAATAAATTTACCATTCTTATTTTCTGATGCTAAAATAACAAGGAAAGATGTGATTTCACTTTTTTGTTTTTCTCTAATTAGCAATATATTTATATTGTATCTTTTATAATTATATCTTAAGAGGACGACTTCCTGCATAAAAATTTCATCACAGTGATCATCCTTTGGAAAAGTACCAAACCAGGATGCGCACAATTACCCGCTGCACACAGTTCCTCCACTTTCCCCTACTTTGATTTTTCTACTTCCGTTTAGGTATGTGCTTTCATATTCTTTTGAAATTGTTTTTATGCGTACAAATCGAAGCTGATTCTCTCTGCGTAATTATCATTCAATTTGACGATAGGCTCGAAGATTCCTTTGTTGATTGTAATTCCACATGTAATTTCTTTATATGAGAGGAGTTAAGTGGGTACGTCGTAGAGAGCAGCAAATATTATTGCTCATTTCGTTCGGTAATATTGTTAATCACGCAAGGCGTAATTTATCAGGCACAGAATGTGAGATTTCCAATTTCTTGTTTTCCAGTCATGTCGCTTTACGCGAAAAACTTTGGATGTTTCTCACTCAAAATAAAGGGAAACTGGGAGGACTAATTTCAAAGTAGAGACTCTTCAAACAAGACACGACTGAAGTATCGTAACACTATGTGAAGCAATTTGCGCTTATATGCTTTTCAAAAATTAACGAAAATCTAATTTATAATATTTGTTAAATTTTTTCTTTTCTAAAAGAATCTTACTACGTTATTATGTAACAATTATTTTTTCAGAAAGAATTTTCTCGAAAATGAATAACGGAAATCTTTCATGTCACAATATGCTTAAATTCGTAAAAAATCGAATAAATCGTCGAGATTATTCGAATATATAAAGTACTATTATATTTGAAAATAATTGGTCAGAGTAAAGGAAATATTCTAAAATTAATTTTTAATAAATTTTAGAAATATTTCTCATTAGCACGATTAGAATTAAGGATACGCATGAACGTAAAAGTTTATCCGAGCAAAAAAACAATATTTAAAAATGTTTAAAAATGTTAATGTTAAAAAAATGTTTAAAAAAATTCTTTTTTAACGAAAGAAAAAAAGGGAAAATTATTTGTCAACCGTTATAAAATTTTTTATATAACATAAACAAAAAATTAAATCTTATATAGCATAAAAAAATTAAGTTATATAATGAGTCAAGAGAAAAAATAAAACGAGAGTTATGTTTAGTCAGTTCACTATGATTTCACAGTGATTTTTCTTTCTTACGATAAACAAAATCTAATAAAAATCAAGTGCTAAATAATATAAGAATACTCGGTGAAATTCCATTTCTTCTTCATTAAAAAAGTTTATTTTTTGCTTGTCATAATCTAATAATGTGAGAATTTTTCTAAAAAAGCGGAAAAAATGGGGAAGGTTAAATTTGAGTTACTCCGACAATAAGAATACCATAGTACAAAAAACTTGTGACAAAAATTTTTTCGAAATAATAGCGAAAGTGAGAGGAAAAAGTTTTTCTAAGGCAAGCGATGATGAGAGTGATGATCAAGGAAGTGATATGCAAGGAAGGGAGTTAATTTTATGTTATCAAGGTTTGTTAGAATGTAGTTTGTAACTAGAGAATTTTTATCATCTCCCACTCTGAAAATTTTTCGAGAAAATCTCTACGTGTAAAAGGAAGGAAACTAATAGGAAAAATTGTCAAAATCTACTAGTCAATGGCATAGCTAGAAATTTTTATTGATTAATTCTTCTTTAGGAATTTTCATGAATATTTCTACCGTATAAATAACATGTATCGAGTGAGTTAAGGATTAGTCCTATGTTGATTTTCTCTGTCAAGAGTTGATTTTCATTGTGAAATTATAAAATCAATAGTACATATGCGATAAAAATGGCGCTTCGCGAATCGCTTACGAAATTCTTTATCGTTGCATCTTGAACCAGAAGTTAGTTGCAGTTAATTATGTATCAAAGTTGTCAGATAATGACGAGAATACGTTTTCGGGAGTTTTGTGGGTGAGTGCTCCAGTACATTGTTGTGCATTATGCACAAGCTGGGACATTGCGGCGGGACATGCGCTGAAATAATCTCGCATCATTTAGAAATATGCGAGTGCTTCGATCATGAAGAAGGCGATGCTGAAGAATACATAACCGACTTCAAGCATCGTGCTGGAAGTAAGCAATAACAATATATTTTTGAAATATATTTTTGAAATAAATCAAAGAATATTTTACTAAAGTTCGTTTCATTAAATTCTAACATTTATTTCATAGTTTCGAATTGCTGTGCGATTGCGCATTGTGGGGGACAGCCGTTAAGCCGACTTAGTTTGAGACAATGACGTCCAGCCGAACAAGCGATTAATGAAGTCGTATCAGCACGTAAGTTGGAAAATAAAAAATTAAATAGAAATTAAATTGCAAATTGAATTAAGCAATCTACTGAAATATTTAATTTTCTAGGAAAAGCACAAATCGAGGTCATGCAGGATTACCTACGTAATAAACGGAACATCCCCATGGTTATATTATCATCTTGTAAGTTGGATTTTTAAATATTATCTCTATAAGACCAGTTCTTGTAGGGATAGAATAATAAACAAATAATAAATAAGAATAATAATACTAATGTAAAAATATAATTGTGTTTTAGAAGGATCTGCCCATATTCGTGTGTTGTGGAGCCCTTTTATTTCACCACGATGTAAGTTTCAAAAAGTTAGCGAAAATCCAATCAATAAGTTTATGCAAAAGATAACGAAATGTTACTTTTTAACGCAAGAAAATGAAGAAGAAGAATAAGAGGAGGAGGAGAAAGAGGAAGAAGTTATAATGGAGAGAGAAGAGAAAGAGAAAGAGAGGGAAGTGAATAACGGCGGTAATATTTCGGAAGTGGAAAGCGGCAATATCTCGGAAATAGAAGAGGTACAAGAAGCTTTGGGAGAAGAAGAAAAAGACGTGAATGAAAGAGAGAAAGAGAGTAAGGAGGAGGAGGAGGAGAAGGAAAAGGAAGCTACCATTCTCATGATGTTGAAGGTAATAATAATATTTCACTAAATTTTTTTTATATTTTCTTGTAACGTATTCTCATGTACGAATTTTTTATTACATATACGCCGGTGTTGAATGATACAAATTAATCGAGTTAATATTCCGGAGATTTTTACGCGAGTGAACAAGCAGAACTAAAGATAAGTTACTTTAGTATGCTAAACATAGTTATTACTTCAGATGTAACAAGAGCTCGTGATGTTTGCTTATATACGTTTATATATGATATATATTAATATTATATATGATATATATTAACTATAAAAATTTTCGGGGTTTTAAATCATCACAATCAAAGCCAATCAGCGTATGAGCAATCATGGACCCAACCATTAATTAAAACACGCCATTTAATTACCTTGTTATTCCCCCCCCTCTTCGCATCATCGACCAATTAGAACGCACCATTTTTTTCAGACAGGCTACGGCCTCGGCGCCTTCAGAGGTGAAATGATGGGAGTTTGTTTTGACAGCCCATATACTAACACTACTTTTAACTTTCTAGATTAAATATTGGCACTTCATTTTGAAAAATAATAAAATGTAATATAATTTATAATTACCAAGGGACTCAAAAAAACTTGTACAAATGGGAATCGCTGGGTGACTAATGACCTCCTTTAGTGGAGTAAGGATTAATTTTACTGAAGTACATGGTAAACCTTTTTTTAATATTGTATTATACCAGAACTACTATCATTTTTTAAATATTGTATTGTAAATATTGTATCAGAATTATACTATTAGGTGTACAACTTTGCTTCCGCCGTTTTTTTTACGAAATTCCAGGATTTATTGTAAAAAACTAGTTATACATTTATGATTCAAAGTATTGTCCATCGCTGGCCACTACTTTCTCCTATCTTTCGAGTAGCGTACGAATCCCGCATCGAAAAAACTGATCATCTTTTGAGGCTATCCACGAATCGATCCAATTTTTTACTTCTTCATAAGACCGGAAGTGCTGGTCAGTCAGGCCGTGTGCCATTGATTGAAACAAGTGATAGTCAGAGGGAGCAACGTCTGGAGAATACGGCGGGTGAGGTAGGACTTCCCATTTCAACATTTCCAAATATGTCTTGACCACTTTCGCAACATGAGGTCGAGCATTGTCATGCTGCAAAATCACTTTATAGTGTCTCTCGTTGTATTGCAGCCGTTTGTCTTTCAATGCTCGGCTCAAACGCATCAATTGCATTCGATACCGATCGCCTGTGATTGTTTCAGTCGGTTTTAACAGTTTATAATACACTACGCCGAGCTGGTCCCACCAAATACAGAGCATGACCTTGGACGTCAAAATCACTGTTCTTGAAGCGTTGAAACCACTCACGACTAATATTTCTATGGGGTTATGTTGACAGATGCCCAAGTTTATTGTATGACGTCTATGATCTATTTATTTCGATCACCACTTACCGTTAAAGCCACTATAGGAAAACGGCGGAAGCAAAGTTGTACACCTATATATAATTTTTAAATATATTGTATTGTAATCAAAATTATTATATTTTCAGGATAAATTTTAAAAGAAAATTCTCTTCGTGTATGTATTATATAAGCATTTACAGGATAGCTGATAATTAATGATAGAACTCTTGCCTAGAAGCAGAATGAATTAAACTGAGAAGAAAAATCTTCTATTTATAAATAGAATAAAGTAAATAGATAAAGTCTCCATTTTGCAATTTTCGTGATAGTTAACAAAATACACAGTAAAAGCATTTTGTATTTATGTTAAAATGAATCCTTGTTAAAATTTTTGTGTTGTATTTTTAATATATTCAAGTTTTAATTTAACATAATATGATTGTGTTATTTAAATATTTTGCGTTTAAAATTAAAATTTAATTTTCTTGATGTTAAAATAACACAATTTATAGATAAACAAATAAAAATATAGTTTTAAAAGATAAATTCTAAGACTAAATGAATTAAATGTTTGTGTTGATATATTATAATGTTTAATATATTATAATGTTAATTTTATTGAAGAAATATATTCTGTACAACTAATTACATATTTTACATATAAAAAGATACAGTTATTTTCTTTTTGCAGTAAATCTGTTAAATCTATATGGGAGACCGAGGTAAGTGGTTATAATTTTTGATTAACAATTTTTCTGTACTAATGTGTACATTTAAATTAATAAATACCTATGCATTGATTCAAGTATATCTTTATCTGGATAGTCAATTTTTTTCTGATTTGTGTTTTTAAATAATATTGAAAATTAAGATTTTCTATCAGTAAATAAATTGTAACATCTTACTCTATTGTTAAAGTTGTTAAGAGCTGGGATAAGTTGTTACATTTACAATATCACTTGAAATATATATATATATATATATATATAA